CACCGACTGAGCAAGTCATTCTTAGACGTAAGGTAACGAAGAGGGATCAGAAAGATAAGAAAAAAAGAGACAGTGGTGTGTCCATGGCTGAGGTTATGGCGAAGGCGAAGAAAATGCGTGAGGCGCGTGAACGTGTTTTGTCAACTGGGAGCAGTGGATCAGCCGCTAAAGATACCAGTGAAGATCCTTTCGAATCTGCAATGCAAGCCCGGGTGGTGCAACTTAATCGCAGGAAGGTGGAGGTGCAGCAAGCTCCTCGCCAGGAGGAAGACAGTGAACTGATGAAAGAGATGAAACGGAAAGCGAAGAGAGCTAGTCGGGCTTTCGTGGAAACCGAGAAAGGTCCACATCTGTCGCCTGACGACAATGTTTTCGTCCTTGACGTAAATGAAGTGAGATCCATGAGAGACAATGTCTCTATTTCTAGCAGGGAGGGAGGTGACAATGACTCGGTGCATTCGCTGGAAACCGGAGTTAGATTGGAGTCACCCAAACAAGTGAAGGACTTTGTTGACAGTTTGTTTGACCCTGTGCTTTCAGAGGGAGTAGAGGGTTTATCGAATGAGATGGCATTACAAGGAGCTTTGAAAGGCGGTGGAGGAGTGAATCAGCCAAACAACACTGCAACAGCTAATGGTGGTGCATCAACAGGTTCAACAGCAGCTGCAGTGAATGGACAGGCTCACATTCAAGGGAATGGATTTGGTGGACATCCAGCCGTTCACGCCCCGGGAAACGGTTACCCAGGAGTAATGCAATCGAATGGTTTCCCAGGAATGATGGGTATGCCTTCCATGTATTACGGAATGCCCCAAGCAAATGGTCCCTTGAGTATACCACAGGCGAATGGGTCCTTGGCTATGCCACAACCAAATGTACCCCTCATGGGAGTCCCCCAAGCAAGCGGCGGGCCTTTGTTGGGTGGTCCATTATTCCAACCCAACATGGAAACGGCAATGCTGGCAGCTCAGCAGCAAGTTCTTATTGAGCGCCTGATAGCGCAGCAAGCACTCCTGCAACAACAGCAGACGGTAGCCTCTCAGAAGCAGCAGGAGCAGCTTTTGATGCTCGCCAAACAGCAGCAGTCTCAGCTAGAGCAGATGCAGTCCATTCTTGCTGCTTCAAATCAGCAGGAACAAACAGTGGACGGACCTGCACCTCCTTCCGTTGTCACTGCTACAAATGGCCATTCTGCGAGGTACACGGCTGCGACCACAGCTGATGTTCCTTTACCTCCGCCTGAGTTTTCGGACATTGGGAACTTGCCGCCACCTCCATTGTACCCTCCTCTATCACCCCAGGTGCCTGTCCCGGCACGCACTTCATCGCTTCCTCCGCCACCACCATCCACGCGAGAAGAACGATCCTCTTCTTCTGAGGAGTTTCCAGCGCCACCTCCAGCCATTACCGGAAGTACAGTCGAGAATATTGACACACCGGAGAGACCCGGACTTACGAGGCGAAGCACTGACAAGGTAGCGCTAGCTATAGCTGCATTGGAGGGGAAGTCAGGAGGGGAAGAGCTCCGCTCTCCTGGACCAACGTCTCCTCTCAGGCATGGGGAGAGTTTTAGTTTTGCTAGCGAATCTTCCCCCCGAAGGGATAGTGCTGCTAAAGAAAGACCAGACTTAAACAAACGAGCTTCTTCGTCGCTAAATTTTGTTGTGTTGTCTGACAAAAACAACGTTACAACTTTGCATCCAAGGTGTACTGGACCATATCTTTCATACAGTCATGTGAAGTGGAAATTCAACATTCGCAAAGAGGTGAGTCGACAAAAGTCGTTCGCAGTCTCGTTTGCATACATCGTTTGCGATACATTTGACAAGGAGTGACGTAAGTTATGTTGTCTTTCCATTTTAGGTTTTCACGGCAGACGAGAAAATGGACAATAATCTTAAACAGCGGTTGATATTTCTGCAGGTCTGTATAAATAAGTTAGACTTTATTTCGCATTTGTGTACTCAGTTCGTCAGCGTTGAGCAGCTTATGTTGATGGGTGCACTTTTCAAGTATTTCATTTACTTTTATTTAGTTTTCATCTTTCTTTGTCGAACCTTGAGATTTAGAGCTGCAGGAACTTGTGTTCTTAGAGAAAAGGGTGAACTTCAACCAATTACAAATATCCTTTGAAAATTCCTGCCCGAAAACTATCGATAGGAGGGTACAGAGAAGGCTGGACGGAAAATAGTTTTTCCTTTCGAATTAACTCTCTGATTTATTTTCAGATACTTCGCGATTCGTACTCCAATTGCTGCTGTAAAATGTCACATGAAGATTGCAAACGGATGCAGCTTTTATTACGTAAGTTTAGTGATGAGAATTGTAAATACTTGCGACTAGCAGAATTGCTCCCTCTCCTAAAATAAGAATTGGTATCTTCTCAAAAGAAATCATGATCGCTTGTGTTGTTTGATTCGTTATAGAAAAATATGGCATCACACCGGAGAGGCCCCACTCAAGTGTACCAGTGGAAGACATCATTATCGAAGCTGCCAGACAGCTGCCCCTCTATTTCAGCCGGTTCTTTGTCGTTAAGGTAGTTATTTTTTGTCATTTAATTAGAATTCACAATTTAGAGCGGCATTTAAGTAATACATCATTATTTTCTTTTAGGGTCAGAATGAATTGCCGGATGTGCATTACTTAGCTGTGTCTGAACACGGTGTCAAGTTGGTGAAAAGAGAGAAAATAACAGATGAACTGGAAGTCATGAGAAGTATCCCGTAAGTTGCTTTTTAATTCCTTTTTTTAAGACACTTTTCAATCTTTTTTTTTTTTTTAAGTAGTTGTCAAGAAGGCTTTAACTTTCGATAATTTTTTGGAACAGTTTTTAAACCCAGTAATGATGTCCTGTGTTTACCTATTGATCACAGCAATTTTTTAAAAATAATTTATTTTTACTTGACGATACAGTAGGTTGGTGGATTCATTTCCAGAGGAAGTGATCCTTCTTTTACCGTTAAATATCAATTTGCCTCTGAAATTTGTTTAGAAGGGTGCGTGAATGTTTAAGGGTAACTTCAGCACAAAAAGTTACTGCAACAATTTTAACAGCACTTGCTTCATATTTTAAGCTGGATGCGCGAAGGTAATTAATCGGTAATAAGCTCTAGAGAAAAGATCTCTTAACTTTTTAGTTGCTTTACATACCTCACAAAGGTGTGTGATGAAGCTCCTTATTTTTATAGCTGAGATTGTATGGGTCTTTTTTACCAGGTACACGGAGTTGGTTAAGCTAAAGGTCCTTAAGGATAAACTGACCCTAACGCTTACAAAAGAAGTTAAAGTTGTTGTTCATACAGAAAGGGTAAGTCGATTACTTTCACATAGTTTGTCGCGTTCTGAAAGGATGCATGGATTGATTCTCGGGAGTATTGATAAATAGTTATTTATTTTGTCAGGCTGCAGAGGCAAAGCAGATTATTGACACATACCTCAGACATTTGGAAAAGGTAGACATTTCTTGTGTGATATGCTCTCAAAGTACTGTTTTTGGATCTGCTCCAATAAATTTTATTGTTGTGGTAAACGAAAAACTGTTCATGGATTTCTTTTCTTAAAAGAAAGAACAAGTAGATTTTACACGGAGTGAGATCTCTCTTGATACCATAAGTCATGCATGGTGACATGGTCACGCATGGTGACATGGTCACGCATGGTCAATGATGAAACTGGGATTTTCTCCCCTCCCTCTTGAGGTGTCAATGAGACACTAGTGAAGCCCATCCGCCCTTCAGTTTAGTCTTCATTCTTATTCGTATTTCTCCGTTAGAGTAACGCTTTTTTAGTTAGTTCTTAAGCGAAATTATCAAAAACTTTTCTTGATTTTCAGGAAGTGCAGTATGTCCGTGCGCTATATGATCACGTGAGCCCCGAGCCTGCTCTTCTTAACTTCAAGAAGGGTGACGTCATAAAGATTGTGCGTAAAGATGATTTGGAGGAGGGCTGGGTCTATGGTGTGTTCAACAACCAATCCGGATATTTTCCTGCTGATTTCGTCACACACATTCAAGAGGTATTGTGCAATTAGACGACTCTTAACTGAATTAATTTTTTTCTAGCTTCGTTTTGTTGATGATGGTCTGTGAGAGATCTCATCACTGTCCCATATACGATATACGGAGCGCATTTCAAATGGGTGTCGTAAAACCAAAACCAAAACCAAAACCAAAACCAAACTAATAGCAGCCAATTAGGATCAAGGATTTGTCACTCTCTTGTTCCTCTCATTTTCTCTTACTCCCTTTCTTCTTATCTTGCTCTTTTGAGATATTTAAGCCAAGGCGCAATAGAATGCTAATCATTGCACTCCGCAGACATCGCTCTCATCCAGGATTCAACTCTAATCTTCTACCCACATATTCTTCCTATCAACTTTCAGTATGTGCTCGGTATTCTTTTCATTATTCTGTGACAAATTATTTGCTGCGATTGAAAAATCGTCCACCAACTCTTTGATGGACGACACTTCTGAGCGTCTTGTGACAAGCCCCAGGAACTTTTCTTTCAACTACAATGGCATCGAACCAAACAAAATTGTGAATGGTAAAATTGTTGGGTATTTGTTTCTGAATGTGGGTGCTTCGTCCCACCTCTCCTTTCTAATACAGCAGACTGCGAACATTTTTCGGATAACCGATCACTTAAATCTCAAATGAAAAAGGGGGCAAGTTTCTAAACAAACTAATGCTGCGTCGGTGAGGGTGACAAGGTAATTTGGTTTTATCAACTAAGTTGATAATGTAAACTGGCCACCGCAAAGGTTTAAAAGCTGACGTTTCTAGCGTTAGCCCTTGGTCAGAGCAATTTACTTTAATCTCAGTTTTATTCTAATTCCTCGGAATTCCTCATGTTAATAAAGCGCGGTTTTCGTTAGAAGTGTTCTTCGAATTTGGTTTCCCCCTTACAACTAGAACGTCTCATCGATGTCGAAATTTCACCCCATGTCGCTCGTATTTAAGTTCAGTTGACATTGATAAATATTTCTGGACATAAAAACTGAAGTTTAGGTTGAAGTATGTGGTATTCAAGTTTGTTAATTTTAATTTCCAGGACCCTCAAGCAGTACCGTCCGCTCGCCCCGCCACCATGGTCAAGGCAGCTTCCATGGGAAGTCTACTAAATCTAGATCCTGAAGCGCCGATACCTGGAGAGATGCGTCCAAGGACTGGTAGTGTGAAATCTACCAAGTCTGACAAGTCAGAATATAACTCCGATAAACACTCCATGATGGAGTTTGCCATGCAATACTTCAGGCATGGAAGGTAAAGATTGTCACCAGGTTATACGAAAGACCTGTTTACGCTAATTCAGTTTCCAAATGAGTAAAACCGAAGTTGTTTTGAGTTTGTTTTTGTGTTGCTCTTCTACAGAGAGGCTCTGGTGCGAGCAGAGGATGGAACTATCCGGGGGACAGTTAAGGTGCGAGGAACGCTGGGAAAGTCATCCAAAGGTTGGTGCACAAAAAAAGTCGGCTGGTAGCGAGTACATTAAATAGTCACCTGCATTGTTTTGTGACTGAAAATATGCCTTCCCAGCAAATGCTAATGAGTTTAATGAGAGGGAACTCTTGAGAAGTACATCGCAAATTAACTTAAAAACAAAAAAAGAGCATGCATTTTCTTTATTTTTATTTCGATATTGCCAAATTGTTCAAACTTTTTCATCCTCGTTTCGTCCAACAGCAAATCACAAGAAGGACAAGGAAGAGTGGTCGTGGAGTGGTCTCGCTGAACTCGTCAAATACAGCAGAGTGAGTTGATTTTCATCACTTTTACAAACCAGCTTTGATAAACTTTCGCGCATTTCAACTTCTCTCTGATAACCAGTAGAGATTCGTTTCCAAGGTGCGGTTATCATTGGTGACTGCTCATATTGTTTCTTAATTAATGTTCTTGCCTTTGCACTGCCACTTGTTGTCATTTACAACAAGATTTCCGGTGCTTACTGTTAAGAACATTTTCCCGCCTTTTGTCTGTTTCCACGCTTTCTCGCGTCTTCTCATGCCTACAGTTAGTTACATGTGGTCCTGCTTATGCAGTGCTACACTACTTCCAGGCACGTTTGCATTCCTTGCACGTTAATAATAATAATATTTATTAATTTGTATTGCGCAAATATCAATCCAGAGAAAAAAGTTTTTCACCTTTGCCCACGTTTACCCTTAGAAACATGCCCTCCCTTCTTTGCGCTGCTTTTGCCTTTTCTCACGCTTACTCTTAAGTAAAAAGTTTCACCGCCTTTGCTTCATTTTTAAGTTTTCCCACGCTTACCCAGGGATTTCATTAGAAACCGGCGAACTTTTGCGGCTACTCTCTACAACGGAGCCGGCTACTATGGCCATTTTACCTCCCGGTTTTTGCGTGTTTTTTTTTCGGAAAACATCCAATATATTATAAAGGCAGTCATCAGTAGAGGTGTTTTTTTTGTTGACATGTTGTCTCCTTTTTGGTTGTTGGGCGATTTTAGTAACGAGTTCTAGCAATTCAATCAACAACACGGTCGGTGCGCTGTGCGCCATGTTGAATGGACAGAAGAGAAAGACTCGTGACAAATCTGTCTCGATTACCGCTGAACTGTCTTCCACCTACTTATGTCCTAATATACGCCTACTTCCAAAATTAATGAAATCCTTGACTTACCTTTTGTTGGTATAATCGTTCTTTTTGTCTAGGCACCCATCCAAGCATCCCTTATACGAAGAGAGTCCCCGCAGCTGAATAAATTAGCAGTGGAAACTTTCCAAAGTAAGTAACTTGCTGAAGATAAATTTCTTACAGATCCTGTAATTTTCACTAAAGACGATTGCTATCACGTAAATCGATGATGATTTATCTCATTATTTACATCTATCTGTCGTGGTTTTCTTGCAGCGATTATGAAGTTCATGGGAGATTTGCCCTTGTCCAAACATCAAAAGGAAACGGAGCTTGTGTTTAACTTGCTTAAGGTTAGTATAAACATAACATGCTTTTAATAAGAATAAAATACAAAGCTGTGCTGTCGCTATTCTTACATCTTTTTTCCTTTGTTTGAAAGCGTTTGAAAACAAAAACGTTGTCTCTTTATGGTACATCTCTTTGGAGACGTGGAAAGTTTCTGCGATTGGCTCTTTAAAGGTGTCAATTAATCAGAGACACTATACGGTTCTCTTATGAACGACTTCATCAGCTCATTCCGACGTTATTTCGGTTTTTCCAAGTGTAATAGTGTTTCTCAAGGAGATATTATTTTTTCCGTTTCATAAAGTGATATTGTATAATCAATATTCCACTTTTTTTTGTAGACCTGTCGTGAAATTCCTGCATTAAGAGACGAGGTTTATTGTCAGCTGATTAAGCAAGTTACCAGTAACAAGAGTCCCAAACCGTAAGTGATCATGACAGTCCACTAATGTTTTTCTCGACAAAGATAAGTTTTTCCCACGTTAGCCGTACATGGCTTTAGTCCTCCCGGATCCAAGGCACTTTGCTTGTAGATATATTTTGTATCAGGTTCCTATGCCAGTTCAAATACCAGAAGTATGCAATGCGGTATTTTCTTGAAACGTCCATATGTCTTTTTTTTTTTGTTTTGTTTGATGGATTTCGAAATTACCCTCTTCCCCCTTTCCCCTCCCCCCCTCTCCCCTTACCAACCTCATCGTAAATCCCTGCCACAAGGCTTATAGCATAATGTTAGGTTGAAGTATCTCTTTCTGTTCTTCTCTTTTTGAAGTGAAAGTGCAAGTAGAGGCTGGCGGCTAATGATTATCATCACAGCTTACATTGAGTGCTCAGATATTTTCAAGCCTTTCCTGGTAACGTTCTTACAGAGCACGGCTAGTGATCCCAAGAGAGAGTTCCATGGTGAGTGTATATTCATTTTCATTTTTTAGTTTTGAATAGATTGTAACATTTGAGCCTAACCGGCTCACTTCGCCCAAGCTTCTCACGCTCTTCGTAGCATGAAACAACGAAAGAATGTTGCGACTGACCCTGGACGGGATGCCAGACAAACAATTGTTGCCCAAGTGTTTTTCATTTGGGATTTCCTTAGGTTGTAGCTCGCCGTGGTAGTATCTTCCTGAGGACGTGTCGTGCCTAAGTCGAACTCTTCTTCCAGAGTCAAACTTGGGCATCACAGCCATGCACCATCCCCAACAATTTTAAGTCTTTCCTTGCGGGCTTGCCAGTGATGGAGGTGGCTTGTCTTTATCAAGGATCTCTTTAGGAACCAGTAGACTTTGCTAGATTTACCGAAGTAAAATTATTTTTTTGCATTCAAGGTGCTGCAGCCACTTGTGAGATGAACTTGATGAAGACTTTTAAGTACGGTGGACGAAAGACTCCCCCCAGTAAGGAGGAATTGAATCAGCTTGTGGTAAGTTTGATTCTCTGAACCGTTATAAACAAATTTGGTGTTTCGATCAAAGAAGCATCAAGTGTTACTTCAAACGAATGGAAAAGATTTTCTTTGAAAGTCAAGTACTTTTCCTATTTCGTATATGTTGCGCGTTTAGTGTAACGAGTCAAAACAGCTTCCGTTGCCTAGAATGACAGTCGTGAGCGTTTCTCTATTTAAAAATACGCACTAATGCATTTTTCGTTTCCTATGGTAGGGGAAAAAAAACTTTTTTTCCGACGAACTACCTTTTGAGAATTTTTAAAGCATTTTATGACTCGAAATTTGTTATCCTTTTTTGTGTAATTCGTAGCAAGGACGGCAAACCAAACGCCAGGTGTTTGTTATTCCTGGAGGAACACGAATGCTGAAAGTCCAAACCAGTTCAGTAAGTAGCTGTCTTATTTTTTACTGAGACAAGCTTCTTACTTGGGCCCTCTGTAACTTGATTCCTCTTTCTTCATATAGACTGGTTTTGACGTCATCAAGGAGATGTGTGTTGACATGGATTTGGCATCAGAGATCTACTACAAGGAGTATGGACTTTTCACCTTCATAGAAGGACGTAAGGGCCTTTATTGCTTTGGAGAATGTTTTAAAGTCATTTAAAACTGCCTTACATTGACTGCAGAGTGACTGAGTGCCAGGGTTACTTTTTTTTTTCCGGTTTGCATAGTGTTAAAGCGTCCCATGTTCATTATCCCTTTTGTTTTCCAAGCAGAGAACTTAATGGTACCGATCCAAACTAAAGACTACATAATGGATGTAGTCAGTTCCATGGAGAGAGAAGGGATCGCTTACAGTTTGCTGTTCCGCCGCGTTTTATGGTTACAAGGCCTGAGACTCGATAATGAGCTGCTGGTCAGCGTCATCTACCATCAGGTAAAACCACTAAGACAGTTTTTAAAATCTTTACCGTAGCTGAAGTTATCCAGAACTTTTTTTTTTTTTCTGTCCCGTGCTGGTGATAAGACGGAAAAACATCTTCATGGTTAGGTTTGTTACTGTCATTTTTGACTTCCTGGTCTTTTTGCAGGTGTTGCCAGACTACATGGCGGGCTATCTACTAGGAACACACGGTCGATCCTTTGGCGATGCACAGGTAACGTTACAGAACTCAATGTCTTCACATCACCTCCCTTGTTGTGAACTGTTTATCATCATTTATGTCGGCAGGTGTCTCAATTAAAGGAGTTATTCTTCACAGTTTGACTTTTGATTCATGGCAGACAAGCAGGCGGGCATGCAGGCGGGCATGGAGGCGGGCATGCAGGCAGACAAGCAGGCGGGCATGCAGGCGGGCATGCAGGCGGGCATGCAGGCGGGCGATTCGTTGATATTTACTCACCGTCGTTTTCTCAATAATTAACTGTTTGCGTTTGTCTTCAGTTTCAGAATCTCATCGCTGAACTAGGAGCGCTACAGTATCGAGCTCGTGATAAATCAATCCTTCATTCAAACCAGTATGTTAAAGATCTTTTTTACTTTCGCACTGCATGATGTTAGCGTTCACACTTTAGTCCAAAGCAACCCTCAGTTTACTGAGCCTGTTCCTTGTTTGTTTTCTTTCAGTTCAGAAGTACAGACTCTAATACCAAGGGGAATGTTAGAGAGGCTACGACCCCAACAGTGGGTAATTCTTATACAAGATCACTTCCGGAGCTGTCACAAAATGACCCCTCATCAAGCACGCCGGAAATTCCTTGGTACGTACTTGGGTAGAATTGTTGGAAATCATTTTGTGATAGAACAGTTTTGAATAAAGCTTGGAAACGTATAATGAAAACAAAGGCTAATATCAGTGAGAACCAAGTTTAAACCTGGAAACTTCCTAAAGCCCGATAAAAAGCGGGTGATCGACACGAGGGTTGGTTTTGGTTTTTGGATCTAAGTGGTTTAGAGAGTGGCGTGAGCATTTATTAACCAATCACAGAGCTTGAAAACCATCGTAATCCCGGGTGATATGCGACTCTCAACTGATTTAACAACTGGTTTTGCTGAGGTCCAGAAATAATACGGAGCGAAAATTAACCAATAAATTACAATTTGAATGAATAAAGGCTGATAGTTTCGAAAGAAACTGTTTGGGGCTGCGTCGGTGGGAGTAACGAAATAATTTGGATATATCAACAAAGTTGAAATGGTAAATTGGCCACCGTAATGATTACAAAAGCTGACGTTTCGAGCGTTAGCCCTTCGTCGGAGCGAATGACGAAGGGCTAACGCTCGAAACGTCAGCTTTTGTAATCATTACGGTGGCCAATTTACCATTTCAACTTTGTTGATATATCCAAATTATTACAATTTGAATGAGTCTCGTGTGAGTATTTTGAAGCTTTTATACCACATGATAAAGTCATATTTTGACGTACACAATTGTTTTTGGGCTTTCTCATTTTGTATTTTAGTGTTGTTTTCACTACAAATACTACTGTCGCCTAAGCCGGCAAGAACATATTTGCTCAGTTACTAAAAGAGCATCGCATTTTCTCTGCAGAAACTGTCACTAGGTGGCCGTATTTTGGATCAACTTTCTTCGAAGTCAAGGTAAGTTTCAAATGTCACACTACAGCTTGATTTGAGTGTGTGGGTGATCTCATGTTCACTTCCTCTGGCTAGTTGGAAAAGGAATGTTTTATGTTAGCTTGAAGCGTTCATTGGTCAATTTTCAATGTCGCTAATTAAGCATAAGGTCTGGGTTATCTTTTCATTTGCACAAGTTTGGTTATAATTACTCGAAGACACTGGTCTTTTATTGCACGGGGAGTTCTTCTGGTTTCATTTTTGAGTGAAATTCCATCTTTCATTGATTTTTACTGGTATTTTAACGTTGGATTTCAGAAATGCAGCAACCCAGCGGTTTCAGGTGACTGTATTGTGGCAGTCAATAGAACCGGAGTTCATTTCTTGAGTCAAACTTCGATGGTAAGTGGTGAACGTGTATTAATGTTAAGGAGAGAGAATTCTCTATAAACGACATTTATCCAGTATCACCGTCCACTTTTAAGAGGCAACAGAAACGGCAAAGATGTGGGAGTGGTGAAGGATGGAGAAGATTGTTGCGGATTCTAATTGAAAAAAAAAATGACCGCAAAATATTGGTGTCGTGAGAAAGAAAACACCACTAACACGAGATAAATAAACTTAAAAGGAAGGTAGAAACGATTAATAAAGCAGAGGCTATATTTTCCATGGTACTACAGCCTAGGCATAACTCCCTTGAGTATTTTAATAATGTAACTCTCATCTTCACAATCTTCCAGCTAGTTTCAATCTAGTGTTAACTGTTTCGCAGCCCCTTTGTTTGCTTTCTTTTTCTATCAACTCCGTATACCTGATTGCTTTCTGATTTCTTGCAGCAAACGTTGCTGAGCGAGCCATTTGTTAGCATCATCTCCACGCGGCTTTTAATCTCGGACAAAAAGAGACAGTTCCTGGATCTTAAAATTGGAAATACCATGATGCAGAAAGTCACACGTATGGAGACAACACAGGTAATTGAACTGCCAGGGTGTGCTTGTCATCGTTATGGCGTGAGGCTCGTGGGTTTGTCAGCATCGCAGCCAATAACTTTTCTTAGATTATTGTATCAGGGGGTATGCTGGCAGTGTAGCAAATCACAACGAACGTATCAACAATACTTCATTCACGCGGCCAGTCAAATCGATTGTCAGAAAGTGTCAATCATCCTTTGAGTTGTGCTGTCGGCTTTCCTGCAATGGAGGCTCAAAGTGGCCAGTGTTGGGATAGCCAGGTACCACGCTTTAAAGAAAGTGTCTAGATTCCCTCTCAAACTTTCAGAAATGGCATCTGAAAAAATAAGTGACAGACATAAAAAAATGAAATTTGTGTTTTGAAATAACACTATTGCCTTAAACTTGGTTGATATTTGAAATACAGAGGTAATAACTAATTTACCTTACTATTTTTCAGGCCAAAGAAATTTCCAATCTTATATACAAATACGTGGCCGTACATTCCTCGGCGAAACAAGAAGGCTAAACCCAAGGATTACCAGTAATAATGAAATCTTAGCTCTTTTCATTGGAGATCCCAGAAGGATCTAGAAATATCAGATCCTTAGATATTTCTAAGGATCTGATAGACGTAGTTAGATAGACGTAGCATGTTGTGACTAGTCTCTCTTTCAGAGCATGCTCAGAGTAACGCATCTCACACGCTACATAATTTCTCTCCCGGTGAGACTAATGCAACAATAACAATAGCTAGAGAGATGTGAATTTTGGAATAAACCCTGTATATAGGATCAGTCACTTTGCTTGATCCTCTCTGGTCAATGCTGAAACTTTGCAGTGCAAATAATTTACATGATCAATTTATGTGCAACAGCAGTTGGAATATACCTACCATTCGTGTACTTTTTAAAGGAAACATGACTAATTTGAATTGTCCTGATGTGGACAAAATTAAGAAGTTTTGTACCATTCAAATGTTAAATTAAATTTAATTAGGTGAAATTAAGAATCAAACTTCCCTGAAATATCATTCTCTGAAGTAAAAATTGTGTATATATATTCTCAGCATTACTGCGGAGTTTGTGCCTGTAAGTTTATGGGCAGCTTAAATATGGAGATGTAACATGAATAAGGATAATTTTTTACGAGATGAATTGGATTCTCACAATGTATTTCCAGTGACGTTTTTGATTAATTTCGTTTGTTATGGTTTGATGTGAATGCGTTTGTCAACGATTATTAAGCGTGAAATTTTTAGATCTCCATGTGCAGTTTACTTGGTAACATTTTTGAAATGCAAAGTTTGTCTTTTTCTATTTGACGTTTATTCTATGTTTATTCATCGATGATAACACAGCCTTAAATTAACTAAATGTAACAAAGTGGGAAATCTACAGTATAGTGTAAAGGTTCTCTTCCCTATTTTTCAAATTGAGAATTAGTCAAGTAGTCTGACAGCGTTCATTAGTATTAAATTTTGTATTGTATGCTCCAATTTTGAGAACCACAGACAAGTGCTAAGTTTTTCTAGAGTTGTACGAAACTATCTGCGGGCGAGGTGGCGAAGTTCACGAGCAAGCTTGGTCACCAAGTTTTGCGGGAAAATGATGCTGCAATATTTACACAAGGAGTAGTCACATATTGAATTGAATATTTTTTATATTAATTTTGCGCGATATTCAGACTGCTTCACAAGGTAAAATGAAAAAATATATATTAATTTTACAAACCTAGTTTGTTAACAAATCAAAATGTATATTACTGGTACTTTGCAAAACAGTTCTTTAAGTCCTCGCTAGTACTACAATATAAATCTTAACTTCATCGATTATAAAGCAACTGAAAAATGTAGTTACGATATTACCCTTAGTACGGTTGGTCCTAAGAGTAAAATTGGGTTATTTAGTGAGTTCGAGTTGGAGTTTTTGGGGTAGACGTAAATTATTGTATTCATCAATTCAGATTGAAATATTGTAGCAACTTATGTTGAAATACTTTGCTATAGTTGGTCAGCAATGATCAGTTTATGTATTTAGCAGTAATTTATAATTGAATGTAGGTTAGTTATACTTTGCTATATTTGTTCAGCAATGATCAGTTAATGTATTTAGCAGTAATTTATAATTGACAGTAGGTTAGTGTGGTTGAATTAAAATATAAATCAGACAAATATCAGATAAGGAAACAAAGCTACTGTCAGTGAAGAATTTCTTAGTCTCGATAATGCATTTTTCTAGAATCACTTAATTTTGCTTACAGTATGTATTGCACAACTTCACTGACAATCGCACATTTCTTTTCAAATGTTATACAGGAATCATATAGTTCATACGTAGACAGTATATTGATTAAAATGAATATTTCACGTACCGTTTGCTTCCGTAATGGTTTTAAGCGATCAACAGTGATTTTGATTTTTCGAGATTTTTCCTTGATGACCTTAAATAATCATTTTATTTTTGAAAATGAAACCTTTATTTAAAACGTCCCGTATACATCCAACTCCAAAATTACGAAAAAAAATTAAGATTTTTTAAATTCAAAAATGAATCTTCGTTACAAGAATAAATTGGTTCAAGAAGTAAATACCTATAATTTCACCAAATTAAGGAGCTTGTTGGTTGTCTGACTCGGTCAAATTAAAGGTACTTTATTATTCATTTCAAGTCTTCTTTGCCTTACTTCCATCGGTTCTCTGGGCGCTTGATAAAGAAAAGGGTGTGGGTCCGCAAAAAAAAAAAAAAAAAACAATTCCGATAATTTGAAAGCGATACTAATAGTAGTCCAGTGACATACCGTTACCTTTGACCGGCACAAAAGGGCTGGTAACTAGTCACGGAATGAGTCACACTGCCATGTGACTTCAGAAAAATGAGCGGACAAGTGAAACGCGGCGTTTCCCTATCATTTGGCTGTCACCGACCAACATTTTATTTATTTATTTTTTTAATATATTTTTTTTGTTCTAATTTCTCTTTTACGACTTGCAGCGGATTCTAATAAATAGAATAATAGGAGCCATACTTAGTTTAGCCAAGTCTAGGTAAGTCACATAAGTGAGTAAAAAACTTCCCGCCTTCAGACATGCGAACGGTAGAATGAAATGTAATGCACCTTAAACTTTCCTACTTTTAAAGTGCATTTAATATGTTGGGTGCAGTTCAAAGTCGGTAGAACATGTCGAAGCCTCTCATCAGAGCAAGTACAGATTTGGCTGCAACTTTCAAAGAAGGGGGTGAGGAGGCGAAGTACAAATTATCCATGCTGAGCTTCAATTTTTCCTTCAGTTCACATGGTAGATGCCACGACAGACAAACCAAGTACACCGGGAGATTCTCGGATAACGCCAGCTCTCGGTTCTCTTTAATTGAAAACATGTGCACCAATGAAAAAATGCCTAGTTTCTGTGTTGATTTGGATCCTGGCCAGATGAATTGGTCTTTTTCTCTCTCCATCACACAATCTTTTTTTTCAGTCGATAAGGATTGGGTTTTGGCCGTGGCACAATGACATTCGACCTTTTGACTGCTGATGTTAACTTGGTTGATTTTCTGAAAATATACAGTTGTCCCAATAATTGTGACTTTGGCTTCTTCAGTCACCTCAGCCTCTAACTGTGCACAAGCTTTTTTGCCTTGACGCAATTCACATTTTGAATCTCTTTCATCTTTGTTAGGTTCAAGGTGATTTTTGTAATCGGCGTTAATCTCCACAGCACTCAGAGCTACACCCAAGTCATTAATGGCGGAGCTTGATGACTGCCCCTCGTAAAAACGATTTTCTTTACTTTGAGTTGAATCCAAATTTGAGCTATTACCTTGATGGCCATCACCATGGTAACTGTGATTTACCTTACCACCTTGTGTATATTCCTTCCCTCCAGCAAAAGCCAAATGAACTAATGGCACTATTGTCATCCAAACAAAAGACAATTCTCCTTCATATTTTGTGACCTCACAGGGAACATGCCTGTCCAGAAAGGTGTCAATAAGTTCATCTATGGTTGAACAAATACTTGTGGGCAAGATGACCAGAGGAGCTGAGCGCATTCTTGCCAAGAACAGACAACAGTAGTACCTGTTTAAGAGGGAAAAAAAAGGTTAATTATAATAGACAGTAGCGTTTTTAGATCAGTCCTAGAATATGCATGTCAGGTCTTTCATGGCAATCTACCATTGTACCTCTCGGATAAAATTGAACGCATTCAGCATCGTGCGTTACACATAATCTTTCCAGGTTGTAATTATAATGACGATCTAGCTAAAGCTGGCCTAAAAATCCTATACGATAGGAGGCGCACATTATGTAAAGATCTATTCAATAAAATTGCGCATATACAATAAATATATGAAGTTCGTATATTTTGAACTGCGGTATTAGATACGTATGATGCGCGATCCTCGCAGTAGAGTGCGCTATTCCGTACAGGCTTGACTTTTTCCAGGTCTGATTTTCGCTATTGCATAAATAGCGCTCTCTACTGCGAGGATCGTGCATCATACGTAAAATTGCGCATGGCAGCCACAAACTCAGCAATCTACTCCCAATACGTTCCCAGCAGATGTACAACCTTAGATCTGGTCGCACCTTTACTGCATCCGTGTGCAAGACTAACAGATTTGGAGACAGTTTTATTATTAGCCACTGTATTATTTAATATTCATCTTATTGTATTGTACATATTAACGTAATTCAGTCATTTGACTGCAAACTGGTTTTAATAATAAACGATAATATATGTAACTATATATAATTATATAGCTAATGCATTAGAATGAATGTGAAACTAACCTTGTGCTGACCCACACTATGACCTAACAATTCAGGGACCGCGCAGCAAGTTTTCGAGCGGGGGGGCTAAAGAAGAATGCGTGAAGGAAACTTTTTTCCGATTTACTCCGATTTGTAAAAAAGTGGGGGGGCTAAAGCCCCCCAGCCCCTCCCTCTGCGTGGTCCCTGTAATTTGCTATTCCAAATAATTCTTTTTGGTCATTCTTCAAAACCAAAAGCAGTGTAACTGAAAAATGAAGTTATGGAATTGCAGATGCTGTTGATTGTGATGACAAGGAAGAGGAAAAGGAGAATGAGTAGGAAGAGGAAGAAAACAGGAAGAAAGAGGAGATCAAAGAGTAAGGATATGAGTGAGAATAGTGAAGGGGTTGGCAGTGATAAATAACAGCTGAATTACAAAGAAGGATGTGAATGAAGATTATTGCAATACCAATAGATAGCTCAACATTACTCGACATTTTCATGTATTTTTCGATTTTTAAGGATTTTATCTTAATTTGTTTGTAAATATTTTGGATGATCCGAGTGAATTATCGTTATCATAGGGTGTATACTCTAGTTTTTCTTACATTTTTATTAGAGATTTTAACAGGTTTTTTTTTCGATTTTCAAGCATTTTATCATAATTTTTGTTATAATTTTTTGTGATTATGGTAAATAAAGGCTTATATTAATTATAAATTATGCCAATAGATAGCTTGTTCAGATAGGGGAGTTTGATAGAATAATTGAGAAGGGATATACAGGACAATGTTGGGATGTTTTTAATGAGGGTATCAGCATGCAGCTAGAAGGACTAGCATTGGGAAAGATTTGTGCCATCATGTTTATTCTTCTGTTAGCACTTCTTTATGAACATGAATTTTAAGATTTGCTTGCTGTTATTTATCCTACCTTCCTGGATGATAATAATGAAAGTAAAAGTTTGCAAATAAGGATGAAAAGAATGAGAGTGAGAATTTGCAGATTAAAAATGAGGTTTCTCAAAATTTTCCAATGTTACCTTAAAGGGAAATTGCCTTCCTCATCATCCAAAAGCCTCTTTGTAATATTTAGCATTTTTTCCACTACTCCAAGATTTACTAAATATTGGGCAGATTTTACATTGAATGTGCAGTAAAACAGTGTGTTGGAGGCAACCTGACTTGAAAACAGTGAATATTCTGCAGGCTCAGACTGGCTTCTGTCAATCATGAAGAGTAATTTGCTGATCATTGCTGGTGATTTGGCAGCTTGTTCTTGGAGTTTTGAATCATACTCTACAAATCTAAGAAAAAGAAAGTACATGAAAACAAATTAAGTCAGAATCTCAATGGATCAAATTATAAATCACCAACCAAAGGCGAATGATTTACAAGTTTTCCTCTTGTTCTTCTAACATCCCTCCTGGCTTTATCACACTATAGAGCCTGGAAAAATGCATCCTATTGCTTAAATAAATAAATTTAAGTTAGATTTGCTTCACTTTGTATTATCTTTTAGAAAAATTAAGTTTTGTGTAGTAATTGAGTCTAACTTGAAATTTTATGAAACTATGCATACAAATGTACCAGTATACAATTGACAGAAATCCTGTATTACACCATATAGCAATATCATGTATATTGGTAGCCATTGACCAAAATGCAAAACAATATTTTTGTAATTGAATATACAATGACCACAAGGTTTGTATCAATGTGGGATTTGCAAAATCTTCTGAAAGAGACAGTAACGAGGATGATTAAATTCTCACTCTGTCTGTTGTTACTTAACCAAAAATATTCTTCTGTTGACAATTTGAACCAAAAAGATGATGTCAGTGTATATGATAATATTATTATATCAGGTCAGATTAATTTCTATCCCCATTTTTTAGTCAATTGGTTAACCTTTTAGATCTGACTGTTAATTCTCCTCTCTAGGCACTAACGAGAATTTGGTGTTAAATCAGCTGGGATAACAACTTCTACCTGATAAGTTTGAGTATTCTCATTACCTGTTTGCTGGATAATGTATGGATATTATAGGGAGAAGTTACATGTTAATCACTTCTGGGAGTTAAAGGGTCTAACTCACCCAGCACAGCAGCCAACTGCAGACTGATTTAATAAAACAATCAATCTGGCTAAGTCAGTGAAGCCAGCCTCTTTGAATGCATCTGGGTGAATGAGGAGAGCTTCAACTGATAAGGGAAAGACACCCTTGGACAAAGCAAACTTCTTATCTTCATATGTCTCTGTAAAGGTCCACAAACAGCTAAGACATCTGTACTCCAGAAGAAGCTGTCCTTGATCAAAATGGCGTTTTAAATGATTCATGGTCTGCAACATCACAATGTCCATTGGACTTTGATCATCACTAGAGGCCAATATATCAAATAAAGATGGTATTCTAGAGAACAAACTACAATATCTTACAAAATAATTAAATTCAAAACAAAACTGCCACCTATCTTACTCTAAACACATTGGCTTTGACATATGAAATGGTATGACTGCAATAAATTATAATGTACATATTATGCCTGATGCATCAAACACACTTAAAGATCTGGGACACTCCCTTGTTTCTCACCACCATGAAGCCAGTATCATTATCGATTGATAAAAACTATTTTCTACATCACATGGCCACATTATGGTCATTTAAAGAATTTTTCATGACTCACTCAGGTGATACTGTAGATAGCCCTCAGCACCATAGACAATTGGAAAAAAAGGCAAGTGAAGTTGGTGGCAGTGTGGAAAGGAAAAAATGGGGAGTGTGTCCCCCCCCCCTTCCCAATGCACTCTTTTCCTCTTCACCCCTGCCTCCCCTCCCCCATCCCCATCATGTGCCCTCGCTAACCCTTACTATTTTTCTCTGGTGCATCTTTTTAATCATCTCCTTAGACAGAGGAGTTATGGCTCATCATCCATGTGCTTTGTTCTGGGCATAAAGAAAGACTGTCAAAATGGTGAAATTTGCCCAGCATAGCTAAGTCTTGCAACAGAGATCTAACCCATAGCTTAGCCTTCTGACCAAAAATTAATAAGGCCATCACGCTTCCACAACCATTACATGAATAATCAACACGCAAAATGCAAAATCATGCTTTTTAGCAAAACTTTTGGCAGTGCCAAGCGTCATATTCCTTATCGAAAATAGCAATTTGAAAATGAACTCACCTAGTTTCCTGAGAATCTGCAAACAGGAAAAGGTTCAACGAATATTTGAACACTTCCAAGAACGCGTCAAATCCTCCTTCTTGAACGAAGAAATGTCTATTAGCCCTCGATTTCAAACATTTCCAAGGAGCGAAGTACTGACTGCTAAGTTCTGGCAGTGCTCGATACGTGTCGCCTAGTTTCACATCTCCAAAAGCCTGGGAAAAGCTGAAACTCACTGCGGAACCATTGGGATCCTTCGTCATTAGAATGTCTGGAAGCTGCCTGTGTAGTTTTTCCACAATTCCTTTAGCGCTGGTCTTGATCGCAGACAATAATTTCCGCATTCCAGTTATGTCTACTACAGCGAGAAACTGCAATTTTAAACTCTCTCCCTCCTTGAAATACAACCTACCGAGGGTCATTTGATCATCACTTAGCAACTGTCCCTGGTAAAACAGTTTTTGATCGCACACTGGGGCTTGAATTGCCTCTTGTATAGCAATCTTTACGTCTCTGATACTTGTAGTACTGAGATCAGGCACAGTGAGTTTGAATCTCCCGGTTTCGGTGTTGTTTTCACAGCTGTAATCTACGTAAAAGTCCATTTCTCGTGATGTCCTTTGATGGTAAAATTGCTCTATCGATCTAGGAGATTGAAAGTATCCAAGAAGGCTGCTCGGAAGTTTTTTGACCTCGCTCGTTTAGCAGAAAGGAAGATTCTAAAATGAGCATCGTCATCATGTGTTTAGTATTGGACCGAAGACAGGAAATCTGTTGTTCAAGGCCTCCTAATATCCATTCCTTGCATATCCAAAGCGTCAGTATAATTAATTTTTGATCGGTTTTCATTTGTTCTCTTGCTTCAGACGAGTGACGCGATTTTAAGAAAGCAAACCTTTGTAGAGACCTTTCAATTTCCAACTTTGTCAACGCTCTAACTTCCCACAGGTGTCTCGCGTCTATTTTTCCCGGTAGTTTGGAAAAGGTTGAATGCCGGAATGTGGAACCGGAACCGGAATACCCGGAATTTCCGGAATGACCGAAAGATAATAAATTTTTAAAAGATTAAAGTAAATTAATTAATAAAAAAGAATAAAGATGATTAAGAATTAATGGTAAATTCACAACTTAAATGATTTAATACGAAAATTTTCTCTGTGGATCCCTCAAAAAAAACACTTACCGGCACTGTCCTTGGAGATACACGTATTAGAATTGAAAAAAGTCTGCGTCAGGCCGGTAGCCCATACAGCCTAAGCGACGAAATATTTCTACTCTCCCTTCCCCCTGGATGGGATGCTAGTCCATCACATGGTTACTCCCCGTTTTAAATTCGCCTCCACCCATTTACACACCTGTAGGATGTCTAGGGCACCATGACCATTAGGCCGCCACGCTTTTCCAACCGGAACCATTACAGAAGAACCATTCCAATTAGTTTAATAGTTCAATTGTGAAAAGCTCCGAGCTATTACAAATTAATACTCTACCTTAAATAATCATTAACCACACATTGGGAGCTATCAAAGCAGCTACCATTAAGACCAGCCGTCTACAGTTAGAATTGAGAGATCGTCAGTTACTCGACACCTTTTCGCGTTTATTATATATACCTTGAATTATATACCTCTGAATATAAACGTTGTACTGATGGATTCCTCTAAACAAGGTTTACATTAAAGGTATATATTCAAGTTATATATAATAAACGTGAAAAGGTGTCGAGTAACTGACGATCTCTCAATTTTAATTGTAAACGGCTGGTCTTAATTAATGGTAGCTGCTTTGATAGCTCCCAATGTGTGGTTAATAATTATTTAAGGTAGAGTATTAATTTGTAATAGCTCGGAGCTTTTTACAATTGAACTATTAAACTAATTGGAAATATTGCATTTGTTTAATATTCTGCAATGGTTCCGGCTGGAAAAGCGTGGCGGCCTAATGGTTATGGTGCCCTAGATGATCCTACAGGTGTGTAAATGGGTGGAGGCGAATTTAAAACGGGGAGAAACCATGTGATGGATTAGCATCCTATCCAGGGGGAAGGGAGAGAACAAATATTTCGTCGCTTAGGCTGTGTGGGCTACTGGCCTGACGCAGACTTTTTTCAATTCTAATACGAGTATCTCCATGAACAGTGCCAGTAAGTGTTTTTTTGGGGGATCCTCAGAGAAAAATTTCGTATTAAATTATTTAATTAAGTTGTCAATTTACCATTGATTTTTTAATCATCAATATTCTCATTTATTTTTTCAATTCACTTTTATCTTTTTAAAATTTATTATTTTTCGGTCATTGCGGGTATTCCGGGTATTCCGGGTATTCCGGGTATTCCGGTTCCAGTTCTTAATTCCGGCATTCGAAACTACCATTATTCCCAAACTCTTGAGAGTAACAAAGAGGGGGCATGGGGGTCTATTAGAAACCGCAAGACCTCACAAAAATTCAATCAAAACCGAAAACCGCATGAAAAACCGTCGAAACCGATAAATTTGCACATCTCAGTTGTCAAAATCCTCATCAATCTCATACTGTGGTTACAAGTGGAGCGACATAGGTTTGGCGGCTATTCGAGATCAGCAGAGGCGTATAACTGCTGCTCAGATAGGCCTTTATAGATTATGCTGCCATAATTTTTGGCATAATTTGAACAAACTGGCATAATCTCTGCCAAGTAGCAATGCTAGCATAATTCGCATATTTTGACAAGTATCGGATCATTTTTGATGCTACAATTTGATCATTGTTCATCTCTACTCCCAAGCACTTGGTGACGTTATTCGATGTTTTAAGTTTTAGTTCAAGCACAGGCAGCCCAAGCTCACTACTGGAAAAACGGACGTGACTCTTACAGCGTTGCGCTACGTTTTATATTTATAAAGGTTTGTATGGGATGTTATCGGTTTGCTTTAAAAGAGAGAAAAAAATGTCTTGTTTTGAAATAAAATGGACTTACCTTATTGCCTTGTTGTTTTCTTTGTTGATTACCACAGTCTCAGGCCATTTTGAAGCGTTTAATTTTCGGCGAGTTAGCGCTATTTTGGTGTTCAACTGCTAAAAAAGAGACAAGGCCGGAAACCCCTTTGAGAAGTGTCCGTCGCCCGAAGCGAATAATTCCGTCAAAAAATTACCACCAGTCTCGATTCCACCAGAACATCAAAGCAGAGATGTTGCAGTTCCATTTCCATTCACCCGATTCCCAATTCCTCCCACAGATCTTTCACTAGCGATGCTTTTATCTCCATATCGATCGGCTTTCCAATTTTTTCAGTTTTTTAGGAGTCGGAACACCAAAATAGCGCTAACTCGCCGAAAACGCTTCAAAATGGCCTGGTAATCAACAAAGAAAACAACAAGGCAATAATGTAAGTCCATTTTATTTCAAAACAAGACATTTTTTTTCTCTCTTTTAAGGCAAACCGATAACATCCCATACAAACCTTTTTAAAACATAAAACGTTGCGTAACACTGTAAGAGTCACGTCCGTTTTGCTAGTAGTGAGCTTGGGCTGCCTGTGGTTCAAGTAGTAGTATTTGTAGTTCACTGTGAATCACTGAGCGACGTCTGAAACGGTCTGAGCCCGGTCTGGGGTGCACCGGATTCGCTCAGAGTGTGAGCCAGACTCATGATAGAATCAAAGATGGTGCACGAAAACCCAGTCCGGGTGTCTATACTTCGTAGATTCTACCGACATAAATGAAAACTTTGGTACTTAAGGGTACCCCGCAACTGTTGCGGTCCTCAGCCACAAGTACAAGTTTGGATACCCACGACCTACCTTAACTAGAGGCGCATATCAAAAGGCTTCTGCAAGATGCAAATCCTACGGCTTCGCTGCTGAACAAAAATGCCCGGTATCAACGCTGTCGAGACGAAGACAGGTGCATAACTTTTCGAATAGCGTCACATTAATTCCTTTCATCAAGGCAAATTACTTTCCTTTTAAAATGAACACTTTTGATTGTAGTGAGGTTAGCAACTCGCTTGCATGATCGTTTAACGAGAGGTACCAAAACTCTGGACTCTTCTCTTTTTATTCTTTCCTCGAGAGCTTCTACGGCTTCGACCACCCTGCTTCAGATGTTTTCTTCTCTCTCTTTTTCCTTCTACTCTAGCGAGAGGTACCCTCGTTTGAAGTAGGAAAACAGTCAGACATGTTTGGGTTAGCTGACCGTGAGAGTTTCCTTAGTGTATCCTTTTATTTTACAAACAAGGGGGAAACTGGTTGGCCCTCAACCGAAGTACTCGTCGAGTGCCAAGGAACCAATTGGACGCTAACAGCTGCGCGCAGTAATCGCGCACGCAAACAGGAACTTGAGTGTGGGTAGGACTCAAGGTCAGCTTTACCAATGCAAACATGATTACCTGTGAAGCTGTCTAACTGTCTAAATGTCTAACACGGTAACAAGTAAATCCGCGAGCTGAGCCAAAAAAATATAAATCTATCAAAACAACACGTAGGCGCAAAAGGCAAAGCTTAACAAAACAAAAGGCTTGACTGGAAAAGTCTCAAAACAACAACTTCCAATTCAACTCACAACGTTCCTCCCCGGCTAAATCGGGCATCGTCCTCGATGCGGACGGAAAGAAAAGGCTATGTTTGGAACATATACTGAGTCGATAACTAACCACTCTAAGGTCAAGTAGCGCATATAAAAAATGACTTCAAGGATTTTCAAAAAAAAAAATAGACATATATCTGTCAATTGATGCTTAAGTCGTTCAATCGACCATCAATTGACTGTTAATTTAAAATCATCCACACTAGAGGCTGACCATTTTCAAAATCTTGTGACGCGCGAATAGTGAGGTTACAAGCCAGGAAAAGGTAACGGGAAGTTCTTAGAGCGAACAACACTTCGCAGAGTTGGTTTTCTGCGACCAAACTGCAGTAGTCGCGCGGAAAAGTGACGCGAAAGACGTCGCTCAAGAACCATTCATGGACCATGAAATAATGACAAATTTGGACAAACTCGGGGACGTTATCTAACTCCCAGTCTAGCGATCGACTGAAACCCGAAAATAACTCGCTAAACTGACGAAATTAGTGGTCTGCCATGACTGAAGGAAGATTAATGCAAAAAATTGGTGTTTCTCGCCCTGAACAACTGGTGTCACATACGCTTATAAATGAGGCAAACAGACCACTAATTGACGCTAATTACGCAGCTGAGATGTCGTTCAGAATTGTAGAAAAATTAACTAAGGTTATTGTTATTACGTAATTTATTATCGGAAATTCAGTTCAGTTCCTTGAATAGTTCGTCTTGGATAACTTGTATTCCCTTTCCACTTTGAGGTCGTGTGCTGTACGAGTTTTCTTGGAGGCTGTTGTTTTCGGACGATTGGTCCTTAGTCTTGTGCTTCGAACAATGAGTGCAGATTTTATATTGGTGACTATCTCCAACGGCTGTTGGCAAGGTAGGTGGACTGGCTGGCGTGGAATGTTGCACAGATATTCTGGAGATGCATCGGCAAAGAATACAGAAGACAATGAAATTGACCACTGATAGACCAAGTGCAACGAAAGCAATATACTCGATGTAAGTGGTTTGAATAGTCTCCTCCATCTGATCGATCAAACTGTCTGCCTGCTGTAAAGCGCCACTAAGCTGGCTATCATAAAGTCGAAACAACTCGTCAAAATTGTCAATCACTGAATGATTAATCTCAATAGGTGGTGCGATGGTCAGTGACTTATGATGCAGTGACTCCAGTGTGGGAAAATTAGATGAGTTTTTCCTGCTGGTTAGGCTGCCAATTAAAAGCATCTTGATCTGTATTCTGATAAAAATTTTGTCTACTACCTCCTCGACGAAAATTTCTGGGACCAGGTTTTGAGTGACAAAAGTAGTAAGTATGTTCTTTTCGACCACAATTATAGCAAACGGCATCGCCAAAGCGAGACCGGAAACTCCTCTACTGAAAAGTCTTGTTTGAACGCTGATTATAACCACTGGGTCTAGTACAGTAAAAACCCGCGTGTAAGAACCTAGTTTTTTTTTTAAGTTTGGCAAAATAGGTTCTTATGTTTTGGGGCATCTACTGACAACTTAGTCAAAACAGTTCTTAATAGGCTCTTAGCCTCAATATTTCAGATGTGAGGACATGCCAGACTTAATTTTCTATACTACACTGTACAATACACTGTGTACTGAACAATGTACGTAATTATACAGTTTAGAAGTTAAGACCCAGGAGTACATTTTTTTTAACTTGCTTTAATACATGACTGGGAGCTACAAATACAGTGGGAAAACTGTATTGTGACATGTTTCATCGAAGTATCAAATGTATAAAAAAACATTTAATTTTTTAGTTACAGACATATTTTGCTACAATATTGTTTCATTATCCAGAGTGAATCTTCATATAAGAACCCTGCAGAGGGACCTACAGCACTAATCGACTTCTCCTTAGGATAAATTGCTCTTGAGAGCTCTTCTAGAATTTGCGGCGACACCTTCTTAGGATCAAAATCAGCGCGTTTGTTTGACCCTGCCAATACAGATTCCTTTGCCGCTTCCAAATTTTCGGGTTGTCGCAAAATAACGTATTCGCGGATTTCTGGAATAAGACCTTGTACAAAATAGTGTGTCCACTCGGATCTAGGCAAATTTATTCTCGCACAATGTGTTCGAAGGCTATAGGAATAATCCGCAACTGATTCTTTCTCTAATTGCCGTCGTTGCCCTAGCGCCTGTCTCACAGACCACTCACTAGCTCCGGAGGCAAAATGCCTAATTAATTGCTCAGATAACTCTTCAAACATAGACATCTTGTCAGCCGCCGGTGGGTAAAGTTTTAAACCACGCGCTAGCGTGACCCTTCAAATAGAGGGGAAGCCCTAATGCTATAGATTATCGTCGTCCCAACCATTTAGTCAACCAGCTCTCTTGTAATTTCTAATGAACTCATGAGCACCCTCTGACTCATCGCCCCTAAAAACTGGAAACGTTACCGACGATTTTACACCGATACCTATACCTTGTGAGTTTACTGAAGCTTGCATTCGCTCAACTGCTTGATCAACTTGATCTTCCATTTCTGTACAGGCTAGTGCACGACGACTGGTTTAGCTCTAAAGAATTACGTCGAATATCAAGAAACGAGTCATCAAGAGCTTCAACAGAATCTTCGCTTCCTCTTCCGCGACCGGAAAAATTTGCTCTGTTCTTTACGTTTTCATAAATAAGGTCTTCCTCAGAGTAAGAACTGTGGTTACCTGTACAAGAGGAAACTAGAGAGCGTTCGATACTGATGAGTAGGAATCCCACTTAACGCCTTTGATCTAGTGTCGGCCTTCGGCGATCTACTAATTGCTCTTAAAAATGTACGCCTCCCGGTTAGCTCAATTGATAGAGCGCTGGACTGATGTGCGGGAGGTCGAGGGTTCGAGCCCCGGCCGGACCAACACTCAAGGTCTTAAAATAATTGAGAAGAATATGCTGCCTTTCTATAACATCAAGAAATGGTTTAGATATTCTAGTCTTCTCGGATAGGGACGAATAAATGGAGGTCCCGTCTCCTGCAGGGTTAGGGGTAGGAGACGTTAATTTCCCACGCACGAGATTACTGTGTGATGGATGTCCTCCCCTGGGGTGGGATGGGTGGGTGTTGTCTTGCGATTATATGAGCCTCTGGCTCGGGCAATATGGGCAACCATGCCCCACGCAAAGACATTAAAATTTGATTACAGGAAACGGAGGAACGGTTCCCTAGAGTGCTGGGCGGGTGGAGGTGGGGCAGCCACTCATTCGAACCTGAATTCGACGCTACATTTTCTAGGCAAACGGCCTCCACGGCCAGGGTTCGCGCTCGCTGTCTAGTAATCAGGATGAATACTAAAAAAGTACGATATGAGCCAGATTTTCCAAAATGAAAGCGACACGATCAAAAACGGTACTAATGAAGGGGAAAACGTAACAGACACATAATCGAAAAATCAAGTTTGAAATTGACTCATAACAGCCATAATCAACTGACAAGCTAACCGACTTAAATACTAATACAAATCACGCTCTACGCAAACTCGATTATTGTTGAAAGAAAAATACGAAGATTTACAAAATTAAACTAGCTTGCGATGGAAAGGCATGCTACCAGAAGGAAAGTTTCACTCACAATCATAATGACTTCTTGACCAAGTCTCGGGGAACTCTGTGGTGAATCGCTGTAGAGAATTCGGGTCCTCCCGAATTATATTATTTCTTTCAAACGTACTTAACATTTGAGTGTGATTAATATAATATTACATATTAATAAATTGCTTACATTACCCTGTGTAGTAACAATAAAGTGTAAAGCACAGGTTTCTCGACTGATTTCTCGTGCGCTTTCTTCTCAGAGAGAAGTGCCTTCTTACAGAGCGTGCTTTCTCACTTTTGCGCTCATTTACGTCACGACTTCCGTGCCTTTAACCAAGAATATTATCAAAAGAGAATTCTAGCTCAAGAATTCAAATATAAAATTAAGTTTAGAAAATGACTACATCGGTTTTGCTTTACTTCTCTCTGTGATTGGTTTTCTAAACTCTCGTTGACTTAGACACTAATGCGTTTGTCGACACTTGACGTAGTTAAAATTGTTTCGGTTCTAAAAATCCTCATTGGCTCATGGTATTAATTTCCTTATAGTATAATTGGCTATTGTGATTACTTCGGTAATTTAAATAAAAAAGCGCACTGGATACTATTATATGATAATGCTCCGATGGGGACAGACGGGAGATTGTTTTAAGACTTTTAACAACAGCTACACTTCCTTTTAATTTTCTGCTGTTTCCTTACAACTCACTGTCTGCCTGTCAGTTGGCTACTTAACAGTCTACAAATTGAAGACCATGTCTAAACCTTTCACCAAAGCAAGCACAGATTTAGCAACAACTTTCAAAGAAGGAGGCGTGTGAACATTGTTTGCAAGAACTTTCCTTAGCTTTTCCTTCCCATCGCATGGTAGATGCCAAGACAAACACACCAAAAAGGGAGGGAGATTCTCTAAAAGCGCCAACTGTTGATTCTCCTCAATTGATAACATGTGCACCAGGGAAAAGATTCCAAGTTTTTGTGTTGATGAAGATCCTGGCTGAGAAATTTTGTCTTTTCTCCTCTCTACTTTAGAGGGATTTTCAGACAGCACATTTTTATCTTGATTAGTTCTTGGTGCATTATGTGCTGTGCTTGAAGCAAATGAGATGACAGTTTGCACCACAAGCTGATCTTCAGGGGTTACAGTTTTAAGAGATTTGAAGCTACTTTGGGAATCATTCACTTTAACAGTGTCAGCTTCAGCTATTTCCATCCCTTCGGGTGGCGAAAGCTTTTTCTCACTAAAACAGGCTTCTCCATTATGCGATGAGGAATCGCATTTCATTAAATTAATTTCATTTCCATGGCTATCGCAATCAATTTCACTATCACTGTTATATTCCTTCCCTCCAGCAAAAGCCAAATGAACTAGTGGCACCATTGTCATCCACACAAAAGACATTTCCTCCTCCCATTTTGAGATTTCATTTGGAACATGTCTGTCTAGGAACAGGTTGATAAGTTCATCTATAGCCATACAAGTTTCCATATCGAGCTTGACTAGAGGAGCTGATCGAATTCTTGCCAAGAACAGACAACAGTAATACCTGGTTCACAGAAAAATAACCTTGTTAGTCAATGAGTAGGAATGATCACCTTTAGCTCTTAAAGTATGCAAAAACTGAAGATAGTGCAACTGGCCCACCCTGCCAAAGCTATTTCATATATGTGAAGGAGTTTTCATACTTTAAGCCATCACAGGTTAAACCTGCAACTCCCTGGCCACTCCTGAAGAGCAACCACAATATCACTCTTACTAAACAAACCATCGAGGATATATAATTTTTATACTAGTACTATAATGTCAATTTGGAAGAAATGGTCACTGATATACTAGCGGCCAAAAAAATAGTCATACACATTATTTTATGGTAGAATTCATTTTCAGCTGTAAATTAAAGTATGTAAATAAATAAGGTAACCGTCAGCACTACTTTGTTACAATCTCCAACCTTAAAGGTGTATTGCCATCCTTATCATCAAGAAGTGCCTTTGTAATAAGAAGCACTTTTTCCACTGCTCCACAATTAACCAAAGACTGGGCAGATTTAACATTGAATGTGCAGTAAAACAGTGAATTGGAGGCAACCTGGCTTGAAAACAGTGAATATCCTGCAGGCTCGGATTGACATCTGTCTATCATAAAAAGTAGCTTGTTGATCACAGCTGGCATATTAGACACCTCCTCTTGGATGTTAGAATTGCATTCTACCAATCTACAAAAAGGATTAAAATTCAGAATCATTATGATACATAAGGATTCATCAGTGTTTGATCATGAGGTGGTTCTAATGGTGGCATGCTAAACAATAATAACATGCAAATCCATGTAAATCACTGTACATCTGCATCATATACAAACCAATAAGGAGCCAAGTATAAGATGACATGTCAACTACAATATTTACTCATGAAGATTATATCACAGTGCATTAGATTACTTGAATGTATGCCTGTATTTAAACAGAATTTCCAAAATATTAAAGCAAAAATAGGTGGACAGACTGTCACAAAAAGGGACACACTATCAGTTGAAAGCCACAGTGGTACTTAACCCTTATAGTCCCAAGAGTGACCAAGACAGATTTTGCTCCTTACAATATCAATATAATATCAAGCAAACAGGTGATGAGAATAAAGAAAAATACCACTTGGGAGGATTATTAATTGATCCAATACCAAATTCTCCAAACTTGCATCATGAGAATTGTAAAGCAGACAGTAAGGAGAATTGCTAGGAAGATCTTGGGAGTGAAAGGGTCAAGAGAGTGTTGAGAAATGTGACTCACCCTCCAAAGCATCCAACTGCACTCTCATTTACACCAACCACCAAGCTGGCCATGTCAATATGGCCAGTTTTCTCCAGGGGACTAGGTTGAAGTAAAAGGGCATCAACAGTTAAGGGAAAGACATCCTTTGACAAAAGAAACTTGCGATCTTGAGGCGTCTCACCAAAATTCCACAAAAAACTGAGACAACACAACTGGAGAACAAGTTGTCCTTGATTGAAGTGGAGTTTGAGATGATTTCGAATTGTGGTTGCTTCTCGCAAATTTGCATTTCTGTGGGTAAACAAAAAGACTGACTATCATAATTTAAAAAGTAATTTAATAGAGTATTGATGTGTAACTTAATGTTCCAAAATACCTTTGCAAACCATCAATGGATAATCCCAAATTATTCCACCCCTCACCCTTACCCACCCCCCAACCCCACTCTGGTATCCAAGGCTGTGGTCTAGCAGCGCCCGGTGGCCCCTGGTGCCTTACTTTTGCTCTTAACCGACTCAGGAATTTTAGTTTTTTTCATACAAAGCATATGCTGGGCACCCTGGATTTCACAGTTTCAAAGTACTGGGCTCCATTCAATTTTTCTTAGAGCACAGCCTTGGGTATCTCTCACTCTTTATCCCTCATCAACTCTCTCCTCTCCAAAGACTGACCAAGAATCCAAATTCAAGGATATTTCTACCAATCATTAGTGTGTCGTTATATCCACGTGATTTCAATACATTAGCCATTGTAATACGACAGTATTTACCCACAGTCAACACACGTGTGTAACCAATGCAAGGGGACTTGGGGTATGCCTGCTCCAAAAGGGGCAGCCCGTCGCCTATGCTTCCAGATCCCTTACCACAGCAGAACAACAGTACGCACAGATAGAAAAGGAAATGCTGGCCATTGTCTTTGGAACACAACAGTTTGACCAATACATATATGGCAGAAAGACAAAGGTAGAGACTGATCACAAGCCTCTCGAATCTATACTCAAGAAGAGTATACTTAGCGCTCCAAAACGCCTCCAAAGAATGATGATGAGGCTTCAGAGGTACGACTTAGAAGTTACATATAAGAAGGGTTCACAGATGTACATGGCCAACACACTCAGTAGAGCCTACTTACCAACCACACCCCAAGAGGATGTCTCTGACGAAGACATACTCAAGCTAGATGACAGAACAAGTGAGGTCGAGGTTGATATCGAGAGTGTCAATGCTTTACAATTCCAATCCGCCTCAGACGAAATCATAGCCTGGATAAGAAAGACAACTGATGAAGACCATGACATGAATTCATTGAAGACAGACATCAGACAAGGATGGTCAGACAACAAGGCAGCAGTACCCCACAGCCTTGCTACCTACTTCTCCTTCAGAGACGAACTTTCAATTCACGACGGCCTGATATTCAAAGGCGAAAGACTGGTAATCCCTTCTAGTGCTAGACTATTTGTTAAAGAGAGACTCCACGCAGGACACATAGGCATAAGGCTCTCTGCATCGGGCCCGAGAACTTGTCTATTGGCCAGGTATGAATCAGGAAATTACAGACTTCATATCCAGATGTGAAGTATGCCACAACCATCCTCGGGATCAACGAAAAGAGCCGCTGATATCACACGATGTCCTAGAAGTGCCATGGGCAAAAGTCGGCTGCGACCTCTTTCAAACTGACCAGCTATCCTACCTCATCACAGTTGACGACTACTCAAACTTCTTTCAAGTGGATCACACAAGACTGAACAAGACAGCTAAAGAAGTCATCCTCAAACTCAAACAACACTTTGCCCGCCACCGCCTGCCAACTACCCTGATATCCGATAATGGCCCACCCTTTAACTCTACAGCTTTTGCCGACTTCGCCAAATACTATGGCTTTGTCCACAACACAAGCTCACCCAGTTTTGCTCAGTCCAACGGTAAAGTCGAAAACGCAGTCAAGACAGCAAAGTCAATCATGATTAAGGCCCTAGAGTCCCATAGTGACCCATATCTTGCCCTGCTCGACTAGCGAAACACACCCACTGAAGGAATGGACAGCTCTCTTGCACAAAGACTCTTCAGTCGGAGGACCCGAACCCGACTACCTACTGCAACCTCGCTGCTGACGCCAGAAGTCCCTAGAGACAACTTAGAAAAACTGCAGGGTCGCAAAGCAAAGCAAGACTTCTACTTCAACTTAGGAACCAAGGAGCTACCAGAACTGCAGGTGGGCGACACCGTACGCATCAAACCTCTTCAGCCAGCTAACGTCCATAAGCCCTGGGTCAAAGCAAAAGTCCAACACAAATCTGACATATGCAGCTACAAAGTCCGCACAGAAGAAGGAAGACAGAACTGTCGCAACAGGAGACACCTTGTCTCCGTGAGAGAACCCGCAAGTGAACCACTAACCCCCACAAGCGATAGCATCCCAGCATCAGGACATAATTTGAGAGACAAACCCAGTCTCACTGAACCAGCCACACTCACTGACAACCAGAAAGCACCCACCAACCCCTTACCGGAGGTACCTGAAGTGCACCAGGGACACTATCAGACAAGGTCAGGACGAGTCAGCAAGCCACCCTCCTATTTGAAGGACTATGCAACCTAATCATTAACTGTCATGCAGACAAACTGCAAACCATACTTTTTTATCTCATATATCACCATGTTCCTGTTCGTTGAAACATTGATTATAGAAAATTATTAATTACCCGCTCTCTCTATCTGAGGAAGGGGGATGTGACGTTATATCCATGTGATTTCAATACATTAGCCATTGTAATACAACAGTATTTACCGGCAGTCAACACACGTGTGTAACCCAGCAGATGCTTGAATAAAGGAGTGCTCTCACAGACACAAACTCTTGTCTATCCATTGAATACAACGTTACAATTAGGAGCAGTAAGAACTCAGATTTTTTATTTGACCTTTCCTGTTAAACTTGGAACACTGACTCACTCTATTTAGCTTGAAGATGAAATAGGATTTGTCATGTTTTCTTGCAAAGGTTTTTATAGCATCAATTTTGAAAAATTTACTTTGTTTTAAGCCACAAATTTTACGAATCTAGGAAACAATTCTGAAACAAGGCTTTGTTCCATGTGGGTTCAGATCCTGTTTAGCATAAAAAGTCATATAGTGATAGTCCTTGTCCAGAAAAAAGTGCCAAAAAACCATACCCGTTATGGCCAGTATTGCCATGACTGTTGTGTGGGAGGTTGAGGGTTCAAGCCCCAGCCAGACCAACAGTCAAGGTCTTAAAATAACTAAGGAGAATGTGCTACCTTTCTATAACATCAAGAAATGGTTAGACATTCTAGTCTTCTCGGATAAGGATGAATAAACCGTCGGTCCTGTCTCCTGCATCTATTAATTAGTTAATTTGGTTAGGCAGGGAACATTAAAGAATCCACTTCAAGAGATTACTGTGATGTGGTCTGGCCTGTTTACTGGGAATTGGGGGGAGGGGACATCTGTTAGATTCACCTTTATTGATTGTAAACTGCTACTAGCAGTCTGGTAAAGTCCCCCACACAGTGTTGTAAAACAACTCGCAATTCAGCATTAAATGCTGCAAGTAGTTGTTCTGTTATCACTTTCACTATACTGTTAAAAAGTTACCCCCCCCCCCCCTGCAATGTTCCTGAGTAAATCCTATAAGCATGCAAGCCCCGGCACTTCTCCTCGCCAGTGACAAGCCCGTCTATTCTCAATTGCCCCAATTGGGGCTTTGGATGATTTGTGGAAAGTGTACCATATAACCCCATACATTAATTATGCATTCCACTTCCTTGTCTTTCACGACAAAATTTTAAAAACAAAGTCTACTAATCTGAATACATAATTAATATATGGGGTTATATGGTACTCTTGCCCGATTTGTAGCTACTCACAAATTTAGGTCACTCTCTTGTTGCTCAGTCAAGTAGAGCTGCCTGGAAAGTTTAAAAACTTTCAAGAATGCGTCAAATCCTTCCTCCTGAACGAAGAAATGTCTTTGAGCAACGGATCGTAAACATTTCCATGGAAAGAAAAACGAAGCAAGTCCCTCCAAAGCGTACAGAAGCCGGTCATAAAACCGCCACACGCCTTCAGAATCTTCATTGATATCAGGAAGCTTGTTTTCCAGCTTTGCCTCAATTTCTCTCGCACATTTCTTTAACACATTCAGAAGTTCAGTCATTCCTTGTATATCTGCAGCAGCAGTAAATTGCAGATTTAAAGTATCACCTTCCCGAAAATACAGTCGGCCGAGACTCATTTGATCGACTGTGAGCGCTCTTTCTTGATAGAACAATTGCTGGTCGCAAACCGGCACCTGAATCCGCCCTTGCAACATATATTTCACATCTTTAATGGTTGTGGTATTTAAATCAGGAACAGATAGTTTCGTTCTGCCAATTTCGCTGTTTCCTTCGGAGCTGTGGTACTCCACGTAAAATTCCATGGACTAAATAATTCGTGTGAGCTTACGAAACCCTCATGCTTCTCAAAGTCTGTCGGTGACTTGCATCGATCGAAATGGTAGACCATCTAGGCTCGATTTCCGCCATGTTGACAAACATTGTTTCCCATCGTGCTCTCCAGGATATGCAAACTCGTTACACCATGCACAGGATTGCCTTAATCGGCTAAAGCCGCTGATAAAACTCCATATTTTATTTATTTATTTTTCTGTTTTTGTTTTTGTTGTTTTTCTTTCGTTGATGAATCATTGTTTCCTGAGAAGTACAAGCAACAGGAAATTTGAGTGATTGCTGATTCTTTCTTTGTAGTCCCTTTTGTGTCACGCCAGCATCTGTCACGTTTGAGAATAGCCCAAAGCAGAAAGGGATGGTGGGAAGTGTTTCTCTTGAAGATGGTGGTTTGTATGTCGGGATTAGTCAGTCTTTCCCCCTTATTTTGATTCCTTTAAAGCTGCTCAAGTACGCAAATCATTTATCATACGTTTCTCTACTTAGTTTACTGAATTTCTTTGTCGATAAATATTCACTGTGATTTTTTCGTCGGGATGATGCAGGGAGCTTCAAGGCTTGTGATAATACAAAATATGTGACGATCTCGTTAATTTGGTTTAGTGCGTTAATTTGGTTTAGTGCTTAAGATAAACGGGACAATTTGAAAAATTAGATCGATTTATTATGGAGGTCAACGTAGAACTAAGATGTTCGGATACAAAGCGAACGGAGCATATAAAAATTACCGTCAACGACTGGGACAGTAAATGTGTAAAGGACCTAAAAGAGATTTTTGAAAAAGAGATTCAAGTTCCATGTTGTGATCAGAAACTGTATTATCAAGGAAGACAATTTGGGAATGATAACTCCTTTCCTATTGTGAAATTATACTTTCGGGAAGGTGACACCGTAAATTTAGAATGCATTTCACAAGGAAACCTCAAGGAAGTGAAAAATTTGTTAAAAGATATTAAGGAGTTTTCAGACTTCATTTTCAGCAAGGATCAAACTGAACTTCTGACAGTCAACGAATTAACGCAAGATGATGGCATTTCATATCTGAATTATGACCATGTAGGTGAAGCATTAGAACTGTTGTCATTTGAATATTTTATTCCTTGGAAAAATCTCAAGTCTGTAGTCCACCGTCATTACTTTGTACAAGAAGGTGGTTTTGATTCTTTTATGGAAGTTTTAAAGTTTGCAAACAAAAGGTACTCATTGGATGGAAGTCTGATGGCCAGGTAAGTGTTTGCTAAGTTTAGTTGAATCAAGATATATAAGATTAGTATAGTACACTAGTCTATAGTATTCTAAACTTCTTGTCATACCACCAATGCCACAACAAAGTTTCATTAGAAACCTACCCTCTTTCATGAAAATAATGTCCTGCAAAGAGCTTTGTTTATCTCTGTGACAAAAATTTTTCTAATGTGACTTGAGACATTGACTTCCACCAAAGTCATCCAAATTTTCTGTCTGGGTATTTCTTGGGAATATTTTACAATTACATGTAATTCTAACATTTATACTGATGCTTGTGCCTGATGCAACAATATTTAAAAAGAAATTAATGTGCTTGTTAAAATGCTGGGTGACTTCATAGATTTGATTTCATATAATCACTTTCTTTTTCTTCTTTTTTTTTTTTTTGCAGGAAATATCTTGGAGAATGTAATAAAGGTGATTTGGATGTATTAGAAAACCACCTAAAAATGTTGAATGATCAGCAGATGCAGTTGCATGCACACTGCCTGAGCTTGCTCTGGAATTTCTCCGAGACTTGGCATGATCGCAGATTGTTGATACAGAAAGGAGGGCTCCCTTATGTTGTCAAGGCTCTGCTTGCCGACCCTGATGGGTACTCAACTTCTTCTGAGGAGTACTGGGAGGTTGCAAGAATCAATGAAACAGCTGTTGGCTGCCTTGTTCAGTAAGACTTCTGTTGTACTTTGTCATAGATTCATCATTGTATTGATCTAAAAAAAAAAAAGCTCAAATCATAGGGAGGATACTGATAAAGGATTTCCTGCAGGCAAACTCACAGACAGCATCCCAGATGAGGTGCAGTGGCTCAATACTATGTTTGTATTGTGAATGAAATGGCAGCAGTCACGAACTTCAAGCAAACTCTTCTGCATGTACTGACATAAATGAATCACTGAAAACAAGTTGTTTTCTTCCCTCAGGTATGCAGAATTCCCTGATTGTCAGGAGGTGATTGCTCGAAGTTCGAAAACTGTCAATAAACTGATATTTATGATGGCCACATCAAGGAATTTTAGCTTCCCCTTGGATGTCAGACACTCAACTACCTACTCAAAATATGCTTCCCAGATTGCTGCAAATACTTTGTTCTGCTGTGCATGCAGTTTGGAAACACCAAAGATTCTGGTGGAAAATGGTATGCATAAGAAGATGATAAACCTCATGAAAGAAGCCAATATCAATGACATGGCCACCAGGTAGAACTAATTTTTAAATGTACAGTGTATGAGATTATTTTTTGGGAGTATTTGCAGGCATGCAGGGATACATGTAGAGTTTAAAATTATGGGTTCAGGTTTTGAAGATGCTGTCCTAGGTCTGCAGCCAAGGGCAACTGCAAGGTCACAGGTTCTCACTAACAATGTGTTATCTCCTATTTATTATATAAAATTTTAGATACTGATGAAATATCAGGATTTTTCCTTTTACTAAAAAATTATATCCCCATTGCATGCAGTGAAGATACTATTTTTATCTTTCACTTGTGAGGATATTGGTGTTGCCATGGTTACTAACATGATTACTATTTTTTCATTGGAATTTTTTTTTTTTTGGAACAGAAAATATAAAAATATAAGTATTATTGTCTTCATTTCTCCTTTATAACTTTTCTCCTTTATAACTTTTCTCCTTTATAACTTTTCTCCTTTATAACTTTCTCCTTTATAACTTTTCTCCTTTATAACTTTTCTCCTTTATAACTTTATATCCAAGTTTCATAACACTTTTGTGACAGGAATTTTGCAATGGGTGACCACTTAATTGCACAAGTTTGCTGTTTCAAGAATGAATAATAAAAAGTTGTGTTTTATGTTGAAATTTCATCAGTATCTATAAAATAAACAGAAAATTACGTGTCCACTTAGGGATACGAATCTTACCTTCTCAAGCTGGCAAGAGATACAGCTCGAGGATAAAATTCGTATCCCCACACGGCCATGTAATAAAATTATGCTCTATATCTTCTCCCTCTTATGTTTCACTTAATCTGTGAAAATGTTGCAATTCAATCCTATCACTAACTAGCCAATTAAGATCTGAATGAAGTCTCTACAAAAGCCATATGTACACCAGTACATGGTTCTGCGTCATTATTAACAATGACAGGAATTTGATATTTCCGTCATAGACCCTCCTCAGCTATTTTAGTTACTTAATGTAATTTCTTTCTTGTAGTTACTACTGCACCTTGTTCCTTGCAAGAATAAGGTCATCTGCATTGGTTCAGTTGGATCCTGAAACAGCTCAAAACATAGATGATCTCATTGTTGTCTTTCTTGAAGAATACTCACCTACTGAAGTGTCAACATGGGAAGAAAGACATAACTATGTCTGGGTCACCATGATACCCTTTGTAAGTTTGGCCTTTTCTGGGAAACAGTTTGGAGGGGAAAGACCTGGTCTAGATTACAAGAAGTCAGAAAAAGAAGGTGGTAATCATTGTCACTCAGGCAAACATGCTGATTCTGCAAGCTGTGATCCTGGATCCTGCATCAAAGGTCCAACATTAATTCCCAGAATGCCCGGGTCTTCAGAGACTCAACAACTTGGACTTTTTACACTGGAGCACATGCTGCATTCAAGTGAAAACCGACAGCTTGTGGATGGTGAACATCTGTTGCCATATCTCCACTGTCTATGTTGGTATGTTGATTCAGAAGATGGAAGGGTTCTGAAAGAAGAATTGACCAAGCATTGGACTCCAAGTCCTGCACCTCTTAAGATAATTTGCAAATCAAGTTTGGCTTTTCAACATGGATTTGAGGTTGCTTTTAAAATGTGAAACTGAGCAGTCATCAGTTTCCTGATTTGGTTGTTTGATCTTCACAGTAATGTGATACTGATCAGCAGTGAGAATCATTTTCATCGCGGCTCAGTGCATGAAGTTTATAAATTAGGATCTTTTGTATCACTCAGAAACATCACAACCCCCCCACCAATCTCAATTTTTCATTGCTCCATTCATGGAATTTTAAACACCATGGGCACCTTAACTCAAGTTTTACGATGACAACTACAACTGTTCTTAGCTTCATCTCTCTCCAAAGGTGGTTGTTAAGAAATGCCACTCTACCAGAGAAGATTTCCAAATCATTTTAGATTAAGTAAAGTACTAATTAAAGTGCTTACCTTTTGATGGAAGTTTTATCAAATGGAATTCAGTTTGAAAAGCTTTGTTTTCTACTTCCATCCACGTTGAATATCACTTTTTACTGATTTAACCATTGAAAAAAAATGAATTTAATCAGTTGAAAGTACAAATGGTTGCTATTGTATGTGTATGAGAATTTTGTACATACTTATTTGCACAGAAAATGGTAAGCAATAATTGGTCTGTTTCCACAAGTTTTAATTATTATAATATTATTACTATGATTGAATTCATGGCTTTTGTCTTTTTGAGAACAGCAAATCTTTTCCCTAGTTGTACAATCAAGCAGTATTAATTGTTACCTGTAATGTAAATAATTTATAGTAAGCTATTATTTTAACTTTCTAACACTATTCTCAGATAACAATTATACCACAAATATTTCATTGCAAATATTTTATCGTTAGTTTGAAAACCAGGGTTGAGATTGACAAAATAAATGATGGTTAGCATGTTGCACAGGACTTAAAATTGTGATAGGGATGGGGATGCCTCTTGTTTTTCTTCACCAGCTGGCCTGCTTTGTTGTTCATTTCCTCAAACTGAGTGCCAGGAACACGCTTTCAATTTGGGTTCAGGAACTACCCAACTTATCCTTGCTAGTCCTATGCTTCAGAGACTCATCTCACTTTTCAAGGCTTAAATTCCCTAAGTCCTCCTTTGGTTTCTGCTATTACTCCAACTGACTTTTTCCCCATCCTCTCTATTGTGCCAAATGGCAAGTAAAAGGAATTAATTTTTGAGGCAAAAATGCCCTTAGACACACCTTTCCTGAGCTTGTAAACTGCCCGAGCTAGTAAACTGCCTGAGCTTTTTCGTTATAATTTCAATCAACAATTTAGCTTTCCCTGAGACAAATTTATTGATTTACATAATGCTCTACTAACAAACCAATCCTCAGGCTACGTGACAGCCAACATTTCACTTCTTAAGTTCCCAATCCTTCTACAGGATTGAGTCACATTAGGAGTTAATATATGACATGATAAGTTTGACAAAGAATCTACATGCAAGTGATGTTGGCTCTTTCCATTGCTTTGAATATTCACAATCCATCATGCAGAGTTACATGCTGGATTAACACAGGACGTTTGTGTAACATCTTAATTTTAATAGGGACCTCAAGCAACCACGATGGCAAAGGCAACGACGGTGTGGAAAAACAAGAGATCTAATTGGCAGAACAATAGCTCAGCACATGCGTTTTGAAACTTTGTACATTTCTTAGCCGTCCTATGCAAAGCGTGAAATTGCAAAAATTTGCGTCGTCTGCGAACCAAAACCGCAACGGCAAATTAATTTAATTTCCAATTGGAACTCAACGCTACTTTTATACGTCATGCTGAAGTTGAGCTCAGTGTGGCGCCTTATGGGACAGTAAGCTCATGCAGCCATTTTTGAAATTCTGACTTAAGAGTAGAAATTCATTTTTTAATCAAAGTCTTCCTTGGCGTTGCCGTCCTGACTGCTTAAGGTCCCTAATAACTTTTACAGTTTTCATCAGCTATTACAATTTGTTTCAACCTCATCTGCATAGCTAAGGTTTACAAAGTGTATCTACATATCATTGATCATCTAGCAAAATTTGGATCACTGTAATATTATAAAAACAACATCTTTAAGTCTACCCTATTTTACAATCCTACTATGTAAAAAGTTTTCAAGAAAGGTTGCACACTAACTTAGGATATATAGTCTGAGTATCAGGATAGAAAACATTACAGTATCATGGTAAGTTAAAAAAAGTGACACAACAGGCTCAATTGCACTTGGAAGTTATTGCAGGTCACCATCTACTGGCATGCTCATTCCCTGTTTGATTCTCTTTATCAGATAAAGCTTATCTCGACCAGCCTGGGAAAAAAGAAAGAGAACCTTCAGGTAAAGGGTGCAGCGGTAACTTCACTTTTTTTGCATTGCCCATCCGGATCACAGACTGAGTCTTGTTTGTGTTCAATCCTATGGGGTTTTACAGGTTTTCGTTGCCTATGGAAATTTATTTTTTCCTCATACATGGCTCAGAAAAAAATAATGTCTTTCAAATTGTAATAAAATAATGGAATGAGACATTGGAGCATTATCAAGGTCCTATAATCATCAACACAATTGCCAGCAATACAGAAAATTAAAAGACAATCAGTAAAAAAAAAACAGTTCTATAATAAACAGAAAGTGATGATCCACGGCACCTCAAGTTCATGCAGAGAAACTGCTGTACTTACTACTCACCAAGGAAATCTGTTCTTTCAGTAGTTTTATCTTCTTTTCATTTGAATCCTTAAGCATTTTAAAATAATATACAATGATCCTGCAGTGAAAAAGGAGTTGATATCAGTGTATAAAGTCATCATCTTTAATGATTGCCATGTCTAGACTGATGGAAACTGTTAAAAAAGCTTATGATAGAAACAACATAATTACTCAATCCCCATGTAGTTCAATACGGAGGGGAAAACCATATAAATTAACCTTTGAATGAAAAAATGAATGAATTAAAAAAAAAAACCACTGTCAAAACTATCATAAATACATTAGTCATCAGTTTTTTTGTGACTGTTTAAGGATCAGAGCTAGTCAGATTATTAATCAGAGTCACTGTAACATCACAAGAAGTCAATGAGAATTAAAAGCAAAAACAGGCAAAGTAATTGGTTGAGAGCATGGGAAAAGTTTTTTTTTGGACCAATCACCGAGCAAGTACAGCAAAACTAAGTGTGATACCACATGGAGTCTCAATCGAAATGCCCTGTGTAATTTGCTATAATTTTAACCACAAATAGCTGTTCAACTTAAAACAATGAATTTCATTCTTACCCGAGAATACAAAACAGCATTGCAATAAAACTCGCAGAGGATGCGTACTCTATGGTTAATTGTAGCCACTTTGGTAAGTTGTCAACTGTTTCTATCACAATTTCGTACATGAATTTCCGTCCTCTAAACATACCAAAGCAACAAGCAACATTGTGAGCAATTTAAAGGAATATTGTTAAAACAAACAAGCAAACATGCAAACAATCTGTCTGCACATTGTAAAATTTACCATGCCTGTAAGGTACATAATGTGCAGTGAAATTACAACAAAATTATAAATGACAACTTACCGGAAAGGACCACAGTTAGGTGAGGGGTTGGTTCTGCCAAAAGCAAATAAAGATAATTACTAATATAAACACAAGTAAGACTTGATAAGCATTCAGCTTTTCAAGAAATTTAATTGCAAAATTATGGAAAACAAACCTCAGAAAACGCAACTACATGTAAACAAACAGTTTATGTCTAAGGGCAGACTGCCACTTACTAACAGTCAAAGCTGATATAAAAAGAGTGAGCAGTCTCTTTGTTTTACTAAAACTTGTAATGCTTCATATGTCGCATTTGTTTTACTCAAGGTAACTTTGATAAGGAGCCTGCTGATGGTTTTGCAGTCATTGAAAATTTTTATAAAATGAAGCCATTCTTTAAATTTGTAACTGAAGTTGCATTACACATTTAATAATTATACTCCAGGGAGTTTGAGGGTTTAGAGAATGCCTCCAGGTAAAAGGGAGAGAATTGAATTTGAAAGGTATCAAAGTCATTTCAGAGAAAAAAGTCAGAAGTAGCGTACTTCATGCTTTGAAACTGTGTGTCCAGCAAACTATAGGTTGTTAGTACAACCAACTGATCATGAGCAATGAATTACGCTGTATGTTGCAGGGGGTGAGAGGCAAATTTAGTGAATGCTTTCTCTGATCACAATATAGTATAATTATAATCATGATTTGTTATATATTATATAATTTGTGGAGTGTATACAGGTTTGTAAGGCTTCTCTTAGCCCCAACAGGATCAGTGACACTTAAGTATATTTATTTACTCACATGTCTGATGACATTATGGTATATCCTATCACAATCATGGACAGAAAGAAGGACACAGCCAGTAAAAACAGAAACAAAAGGTTCATTCTGGATGCTCTGAAAGGCCTCATGGATGGGCGGCAGTTCATCACCACACTTGTCTACAAGCACGTGGGAAAAGACACTTAAGTTTATAACAGTGGATATCTTGGCATAATTCTGATTATGCATCAAAAATATTAGGAATTGTACTGAGCACTATTGCTTGACTTTACTTAACAACTCATTCCATTCTCTCATTCATTAGATACAAAACTTAAACCAAATCCAGGATGATCAATTGTAATTATTCTGCACTTTTAAGGTCAAATTACTCCTTTTAATTTTGAGTTATTATTGGTTCCATCAGACATTTTAATTGACCCTTGTGATTACTTAATTAATTTTTGGTTTTTAAAACTCAGTCAAAATGGGCTCTCTTAAAAAAGTATTTACTGATACCATGCCTCTTACAGACTACCAAAGTTTGCAGAGTTGGCAGTCAAAAACGATGGTGTAACCAGTGATCATATGAAACACATTGACCAGTCTTTTTTTTTTTTTTAAATCAAAATGTTTCATTGACTGGCTGCAAATAAGAAGAAGAAACATGGAGTAAACTACATTTAACTCCATTTATCTTGGGTCATTCCTTCTTCACTCAGAGTTTTCCAAAACCAAACAACTTGAAGTTTTGACCAAAATTCATTCAAAACACTGGAAAGGGTTTGATTAGTGTAATGTAATGTAATTTAATTAATTCATTAATAATTAATTTAATTTAATTTAGTCCATTTTCACTGCATTAAGTTTTGCAGTGGGGAAGGACTGGAAAGGAACATAGGAACCATTCGTACTAGTCCACCCTCCCACCCATCCCACCCCAGGGGAGGACATCCATCACACAGTAATCTTGTGTATGGGAAATTAACATCTCCTACCCCAACCCTGCAGGAGAAAGGACCTCCATTTATTTGTCGCTATCCGAGAAGACTAGAATATCTAACCATTTCTTGATGTTATAGAAAGGTAGCAAATTCTTCTCAGTTATTTTAAGACCCTGACTGAGTGTTGGTCTGGCCAGGGCTCGAACCCTCGACCTCCCGCACAACAGTCCAGCGCTCTATCCATTGGGCTAACTGGGAGGCGAGAAGGTTTGAGAAGGTGTTCGCGTAATTCCTTTTTCAAGGGTATATGATAGGAGGTGTAATTAGCATGACAGTTAAGGTTACAGCTTTAGAAACTTTAAGGGATACTCAAAGAGCACTGCTTCTTTTGGTTTAATCTTCTGTACATGTGTTCATAGATATTCAGGTGAGTTTCAATATTATTATGAATTAACAATTAATGAATGCACTCAACATACAGTGACTATATTTTTAATTACAAATAAAGTTCACTCACTCTATCTAATCATTGGTTATACCTACCCTTTTCACGTAAAACAAAATGAGGAGCTTTATCACTTGGATAACTGGCAGCATGGGACAGTAGAAAGTGCCAATCCTAAATACAGAGAAGATATCATTTTGTTATTACTGCAGTGCAAATGAGAGAGGAAGTGTGGGAGCACTAGTACTGTACACGTGCCTGGAGAA